AAAGAGCCGGATCTCTAAAATCCCATCATTTGTTGTGACATGATGGAAACATGTTCAGTGGGAAAATGCTTGTTTGTCTCTCCAGCTGGAAAGCCCTACTGATACTCCCACTCTTACTGTTGAAAATATGACAGAAATGTTTGGACTTGTAAAACAACAAGGACATTTAAACAGTTGCAGATTTTCTTTTTGTCAGCATTTAAATAATTACTTACTCTCTATATCTCCTACAAATGTTTCCTGCTCCCACAGGCTCCGTCTTCTACATAGCTGGGGCTTTCTCCTTCGAACAGGCCGGACATACTTGTAAAAATCAGGGAGCTGAGATGGCATTGATCGGCCAGCTTTATGCTGCCTGGCATTTCCATAACTTTGACCAGTGCGATGCCGGTTGGTTAAAAGATGGCAGTGTTCGGTTTCCCATCAGTAACCCCAGGGAGCGCTGTGGAGGCATTCCAGAGGCAGGAGTACGGTCATTTGGATTCCCAGACAAGAACACACATGTTTACGGGGTCTATTGCTATAGGTAATCCAAAAGCACGAGCAAGAAAGACAGAGAGACCTGAGAGACCACAATACATGTGTATACAGCTTTATATACCAAAAGATTGTCCCAAATAAGAAAGTTCATATCTGAGGCTACAGACACGTTGCACTATTGTTATTTTCAACATTATAGTAAAGTAACTATGAGTGGGTATAATAATGATTAAAAATAACTAAAAGAATGAAAGTTCAAGGAAAGTTCAACAACTAGTAGATTGCAGGTAAATGTTATAAAATAATGTTTATATGCACAATCATCTATCACTAAGCCTTTAATAATAACAGCTCTGCAAACACATGTGTCTATTTAACATAACTCTTGCTTTTATATGAGCATACTCTAATGAGAATAAACACAAAGGATAAACTGATTTATGTGTAAATTAATGACACATAATTTAATTTACTGAATAAAAAGATGACCTGTTATCAGTTTGGATGTTTTTGTATATTTTTTTCCTTACTTTCCAAAAATATCTCAGCTGCTGGAGCCTCTGTCCTTATTTATCATAGAGTGCCTGGATGTAGCCTAACTTTAAAATACTCATTTTTGACATGAATCTAGATGCCATCAGTCGTTGGAATATAAATGAAGAAAGGAGTAGCCTCTTTCTAAACTGCACAGATAAGGTCATGATGTCAAGTTGTTAATGATTTAAAGTAGCAGCAACCAGTTAAATTGCAGTTTACTGTTAAGTTTTCAGTTTCAGTTTAGCTGCTAGGTTTCAATGTGGGTCCAAGGGTGCAAGGGAAAGCTTCCTGCCTCAACAATGCATTGAAAGAAAATATTAAAGCAAGGAGGGACTTATTTAATGAGCCTTGCAATAGAAGTTAAAATAACAGGAATTATACATTTTTACACATATTTATGAAAAATATATAAAATAAAATAAAATATAGCAGTGATCTGCTTTCCTATTAAATCTCTAATGAGTACCGAGACAACCTGGTAGCTTTATCCGTTTGTCTACATGAAATTTCTCTGATTTCAGGGTTGGTACTTTCCCTCATCTAAAGAAATACCAAAATTAAAGGGAATCACTGATGTCCCCTTCAAGAAAACGTTAACATAGTTTCCACATGGTGTTTAAATCAGTTTGACATGTTAGAAAACAAAACAAACTGCATCTGATTAAATCTGGAGCTAGTGTGACTCACGCTTTAATGTGACCTTATCTACATGTAAACTGTATCTATACATTCTTAAGAGATATAAAAAGAAATTTCCAAAGAAGTTCCCACCTCTTCCTCTTATCTCTGCCTTCCAGCAAGAAAACAACAACAGATGAACCAGTCCTGTGAACACAGAAGAAAAGGAAGAGCCCAAACAAAAGGGTTACTCCAGGACAGTTCCACTGTCCTGGAGTAACCCTTTTGGCCCACAACATATTACCCACAACATAATCGTGTTTCACCTTTATTAAAGGTGGCCCACAACATATTACTCCATATTGTTTGGATCAATGGATAAATTTGTCTTTAGTGTACGCTATGGTGGGCAATCCTATGGCTACAAATGTGAGAAACTCTTAAATATTCACACTGTTTTTGAGACATAACGTCTTTAGCAATAAACCACTTGACAACAACGCTGATCGTGTTTGGGGTTTTTTTTGTTGCTTTTTTATGTTCACTGTATTTAATGTTGTGGTTAGTTTCATTTGCTATTATAACTAATATTACATGGAAGATATTTCTCAGTTGCAAGATTCATCAAGTTCAAATATTGTATCGCAAAATATACAGTTGACTCACTGTCAAGTGAGTAGCCAAGTCTAAGCAAAGAATTTCCAAATCTTCGTTGCAATCTTGCTTGTTGTGTTGACAATTTAATCACATTGTCTAAAGACTAAAACTACACATTGCCTTGACTTACCATTTTTAAGTTTGCTTTTCAAGCCCACACATTTTTTTGTAACCTATAAGGATCTTGCTACAGAGTATACCACATAATTTCCGTTTATCTGAGATGCACTGCAATTTGAGATCTACTACCCACTTTCAGTGAAAACAGAACGCACATGAAATCCCTTTTTTAATAAAGGTGAAAGGTGAAACAAGATTGTGTGTTTGGAAATCAGCAAAGTTATAGCAGCTTCAAGAGCAATTTATAAAAGTAAAAAAATGTGTCCATTTAATGAGCAGTTACATGCTCTTTCTCCCAGTAAAGAAGCATTGTGCTATATTAGAACAGAATAGCAGCACTTCCTCGAGTGCAGCTACTCTAAGACCTCATTTGAATTTCTTTGATCGTTAGATATGTGTGAGCTATCTTAGGTTTGACACATCAGGTGGAGTTTTCAATATTAAAATTCACAGAAAACCTTCACTCTTAAAGAAAAACAAGAAATCCATCAGACTGTAAGAACAACAGATTTTAGTGAATGTCAGACCAGCTGATGCTGACAATCAATTCACACTTTGCTACATTTAACACCTATCAGAAACTCATCAAACTATCATGAACAGCAGTTTGTTACAAATATGTTAAAATTACAGTGTGTGGTAGCAGCAGTCAAATTCAAGAATTCAACATTGTCAACAGGTTGATTTCAATGTCTGCTATCGTCACCTAAAACACAACAAAGGCCAGCTACAGAACGGCTGATTGTGAAAGTAAGTTACATCAGTAACAGTGTTACTAAGTCATAACTGGCTACAGTTACTGGTTCATAAATATACCTTGATCTCTTAGCCGCCCATATCGTATCAACAGCTTGGGTCAAAAAAAATCTTTCTATATCATCAACTTGGTACTTGGTTTCCATTTGATTTGGTGTATTTCAGGTATTACAGGCTAATCATCATACATAGATACGCAAGACCTAATTGTTTCCATAATCTACAATTATTGTTCTAATTATACCACAGATCTCTCATCTTCTAACTGATTCTAATTGATTTATATAAAAGTTGTCCACCTGCTTAAAAGTTGTCCTTCTGTATTAAAAGTAAGAATGTGTTTCTTCCATACATACGCCAGCAAAAAATAGATTTTTTTTTTCTTTTTAAACAGAAACCCATTTATTCAAAAAAGGAGGCGGATGATTGTTGCACCAAAGTGTCGTCTACTGATCCAAAATGCGTGTTGGATCCTACTTTATCTTTTGATAAGGTTCACTGGAAAATTATTCTGGGAATCATATTTTTTTCCATGCATGTCTAGATCGAACTGCATTTTTAAACAATATGAACAGATTTTCCTTGATTTCACAAACATTTTAGACATGCTTTGGTCAACACTGTAAAACGCATATTTAGATTAGAGCACTTTTCCAGAATTGTCCATTATTGCAGGAACTGTAACCTTGAGATGATGTTAAAATGAGCAACTTGTTTTATTCGGGGCAATTTAATGCAGAAACTGGGCAGGACTGACTTATAAGAAACAAGAAAAGTGTGAAAACAGGAGAAGGAATGTTTGATTTTTGCTTTAAATAAGGCAGGGTGGCTTTAAACATTCCAGTTAATGTCCCAGTAGAGCGGGGCTGCTTTCTCTGTGGCTGTACCCATGGCCTCCTCGCGCTGCTCAGCATGTATGGTAACTAGGTCCTCTTCTTCTGAATGAGCTAAATGTGTAAGGAAACAGGGAAAAAAGAAATGATTGCAGAGATTAAAAGACTGATTTACCATATTTTTAGGACTTTTTTCCATGTAAGCTGCTTTAGATTAGTTTGCTCTCTATAATCTTTGTATAAATGAGCTTCCTGTACTCAGCTGACACTCCTACAGCCTCATAATTAGGGATGGGTATCAAAAACCGGTTCTTGTTGAGAACCGGTCCCACTGTTTCAATTCCTTGGAATTGTTTGCCATTTTTGCAAAGGATTCCCTTATCAATTCCAGTCGCCCCAAATGACGTCACCACATTGCGTTGCGTCATTTACCTGGCAGGAAACATGGCGGCTCAAACGCTCAAAAGTTTGATTATGCTTTACGAGAACGGATGACAACAGGGCAACTTGCAATACTTGTAAAGTAGATATTTCATTTAAGGGAGGAAACACTACGAATATGCAAAAGCATTTGCTCACAAAACACATGATAACCTTAAATGAATGTCATGTTTTTAATTCCACTCCGGACTCGTGAATCTCAACCCAGCAGCAGAGGTAACGTTTGCACGTCCTCTCCCGTTAATGCGGCAGGTAAATAATCAACTAACAGTGCATATTATGTTAGCGCGATCTGCCTTATTACAAAACCTGCCATTACTGTGCATTTAGGTGACCATGATGAGAGAGACAGACAGAGTCTGGCTCAGATGCTGGCAGTTCTCGCTGCAGTCTACCGGTAGCGTCTCCTTTCAGGCCAGGATAGACGAATGTCACCGAGCAGTGACTAAGTTTGTGCTTAAAGGCTTGCACCCATTTGCCACAGCAGATGCCCCCGATTTTCGGTAAGTGAATGTGTTTAATTGTAGGCAGGGACATTACTGGATATTCTTGTGTAATTGCTACAGAATAATTTATGTTGTACTTTGTTATTGCTACAGAAGAATATTTATTTTATTATTTTACATTTACATTTTTTTTCCTGGGGACCCTGTGACACCCCATTGAAGAGCCGTAGGCTGTGGATCTCTTAAGATCTCACTGTTGGGTTTGTAAGGCCATGCTACTCCTAAATTTCTATCTTATTCAAAGAGAAGATATAAAACAAAGTTCTAAGCTAATCGACCTTAGTGTTCTCCTTTTTTAAAAAGAATCGATAAGAGAATCGATAAAGAATCGAATCGTTAAACAGAATCGAAAATGGAATCGGAATCGTGAAAATCTTATCAATACCCATCCCTACTCATAGTGGACAGTCTCAGCTGAATCTAAGATATTCTTTCTTGCCCAAAATTGGTATGTTCAGTACACCTTAACACCTGCAGACACTTTCTTTTAGTCCCAGTCTTGGCCATTATGTCACGTTACTTCTTGTACTACAGAGGTCAATACATGCATGTCTGATTTTCTATTATATTGTTCACTCAGACTGAAAAAATATCTTTTTTAGGGACAAAAACTAGAGCAATATTTCACTGATCTGATATCTGAAGATATTCTGTTGTAAGGCTTTTAGGCAAAAAAAAATATCAGAAAAGTGCTTTTGTATGTAATTTACATTATAGTCACATATTACATTGCAGAAGCACGTGACTGTTTTATAGTAATAGGTGTAACTAATCATGCTCAGACATATGATGGACTTACTTGGCATGCAGGTAATTTGAGGCTCTTCCCACTGGCCACCTGGCAGGCATTTAATGACAGGATTCATTTTCTGGACAAAATCCTCTTCACAGTAGTATCGCACTTTGGTGTTTGTCTCGTAACGCAACCGCTTTTTCCCAAACACCTTGGCATGGGGAACATGGGGGGGCTCACCACAGGAGGCTGTTGGAAACCACTTTGAGTCTTAGATCTTTACTCTTTTTTTTTCTTTTTTTTTTTTTAGAAAAGGAGTTTAAAAAAGAAGGAATTAGGGGAGATTAAAATGAGGTGAACTCACTGACGCCCTTCTTGCAGGTGTACGACAAGTGGTAGTTGCATGGCACGTCACTCCAGCGACCTCCATCATGCCACACCATCACCGCACAGTCCTCACCAGACAGGAAGTAGCTGTCAGGCTGCCCTTTGTACCAGTTTTCATAGAGCTGACAAAGAGAAGTGAGCAGATTTGAAATTACATAGTAATCTGGTTGATTGTGCTCTCATTCTCACAGTCATAAATCAGATGACTAAACAAACCAAATGTAAGAAAATCATGTTAAACAGCTGATAAATCCTCTGAATCTCAAACATGTCAGGTCAAAGCTAAGAAAACTCACCAGTGGGTTTCCATCTGACCAGCGGAAATCTCCCTCAATGGTTCTGTCATTTAGTCCAATCCACTGATATTCTCTGTATTTTTCTAAAATTAGCATAAGAATATATGTATTATATATATTGTTTATTAAGTCATTGCACTTTTTTAGGACAATTTGTAGACAGTTTTCTGTTTGTTGTCAATTTTTTTTAAATTAGTAAACCCTATTTTTACTTCTGAGAAACACTGCCACTCTAAGATGCTCGTCTTATATCCAATCACCTTTTGCCAATTAACCTAATTAAATTATGTTTGTCCAGCTGTTTCTGTGTTGTACTGTGAATAATGCACTTTATGACATTTGCAAATCATTCTGTTTTTATTTACATTTTACACAGCATCACAACTTTTTGTTGTGATAAAAAAATGCTTCATGTTCCCAATGTAACATTTATCCACAACATGTAAACAATATACTAATATATTCTTCACACTTAAACTGTTTGTCGGCAACAATAATTTGAATTAAAGTATGTTTTGTGAGAAAATTATGAAAGAAAAAAATCTTTTGTGGTACACATTCCTGCTTTAAAGTTCTCTGCTGTTTTGGGAAGCCGGCTGCTTTTCACATCCTTACATAAGAGTATCAGTTAATAGGATCAGTGCCCACTGCCTGCCGAGCACAAGGAGCCGCCACCACAGCGATGTCAGATAACGATGTCATCGCCCCTTAGCAAGACAAAATACCAACAGCAGCTGTGAGTCACTGCCATGTTCTTGGAAAGAAAAACAAATTCCAAGTGATGAAAGACACGAGAGGTTATTGTTGTGTCTTGTCTGGAGAAAATCTCAGCGTCTCGTTCCTAAAACAAACTCATGACTTTTCATTTTTTAACAGTTTGACTCATGTTGAAGCATGAAAAATGACTGGTTTGACACCTGCCTCTGCATGGCAAGGCACAAAACCCAACTGCACAAAACTCAAAGAGAACTCAGCTATTAGAAACGACAAAATTCATACTGTCCTTTGATTGGGAATGTGACTGTTTTTTACAATGAATTTTAGATTTTACGCTTGGAGAACAAAATATATTATGCATTACTGACCACCGTGCCAGCATCTACCAACGTTTCTCCACTGGGATTAGGTTACGGACATTTGAAACAAATGAACAAAAATATTTGTACTTATTACAGTAACTAAACTTAACAAGTACCATTAACTTTTTCATGGGAGCAACCCTCATACTCAACTCTGCTGCTCAACCCACACATGCGGGGAAATAAACAGGTTTTCCAACTGTATAGGACTTACTGACAAAAATGACCAAATACATACTTTCTTACTTTTTGTGACAGGTTTATTTTTCAATGTTGTGTAATTCAGTGTATGCTTCTTAGACATGAATTGCATTTTTCAAGTAAGTATTTCAAAGCTTTGCAAGATTACCCAGTGCAAACATTAAAAATATACAGACAATCTAAAACTTTGTCATCATTATTTGTGTGATATACTTGACGTTTCTTCAGCTTCAAGAAGTAACATTTAACTCGTGCAGTCAAACGATGTTTTTGCTTCCTGATTACAAAATCTTTGATAATCATATGAGTCACTTGAGTCATGTTTTACCATTGATGTAGTCCTGCTCCTCAGGAGTCATGACAGAGAGCAGATGCCCGCCGCACATCCGACAGTGCTGCTCAGCTGCCTCCCAGCTCTGCCGCTTGCTAAAATGACGATAACAATATCCTTGAAATTTCTCCCAGCCTGGCTCACACATCTCCA